AGTTTCCAAGCCAAATACAAGTAAAACTGCCTATAGATTACAAAACTACTCTTCTCTCCACCCCAGCCCAATCTGACTACATCTACTTGGCTGCAGTAGAAATCAGTGATCACAATACTCCTCAGAAGTGAAATCTGTCTTGGTGTTCCCCTTTCAGAGAGGCCACAATGTAAAAAAAAAAAGTGATCTATATCTTGGCTGGACACTAGGTGAAAGTTTTATTCTGAAAAAGAATAACTGAAAGTAAATTGACTTTCTGATAAGATTTTCTCTGTTGCTCCCCAAACCCACATTTCCCTTCTCTCTCTCTCCAGCCTATTCTGCTATACTGGCTGCCCTGAGTTTTGTGGTTAATGCCATGATGAGCTACAGCACATTGTGGAGGACCAAAGTTCAGAGATATACCAATGGTCCTTGCTCTTCTTGATAGATGGACTTCCTAACTTTCTGAAATCCCACTGCAAAAAAACCCACCCTCTGCCCACCCCTAGACTATCCTGTACCCACTTGCCACAACTATGTTCACTTGTTATCATATAAAAGTGAGGCTAAGCTTTGAACACTTTTATCCATGTTTACTACTTCCAGTGCCTACTGCTGCCTGCATTTTGAGGGGCTTCTGCACTCATTGTATTACTTTATGGGTCACCTCAAGGTCTTCTCCAGAACCCCGGAGACAAGACAGCAGCTTGATGGACCATCCCTCTCACATGCGGGAAGAAGATCTCTGGTTGGGAGCCACAGCTCCACGCTGCCCTTTGGACTCCCTTGGCATGGGCTCTCCAACACCTGCCACCACTGGAGTAGGGCTGGTCCTTCAGCAATGTGTACAAATTGTTGGGGTTTTAAAATCAAAACCAAAAGCACGGTGTTTCGATGCGCAGTTCTTCAGACACTGCTTTCTAAGGAATACAGTATTTTCTGCTCTAGAACAGTGAAACTAATTAAATGTTAGACTGGCACTTAAAATATCTGCAAGTGTTGGTATCGCTGAGCCATGTGCCGCTTCACGACATTAACATTTTGTCTGTACAGAAAATATGAGGGTAGGGGGAGGTGGGGAAATACTCTATGCTTTTCTAACCTTTTTTCCTCCCATACAAAATACAACAGAAAAACAACACAACAGGTACCAATCCCCAGAAAACAGTAATAAGAGGCTTGAGGCAAATGACATAACAAGCTGAAAGGGTAGAGCATTGCCTGTTAACTTTAACAGATGCTTAATTCTCCTTAGGCCAGGAACACAGCACACTGGGGGTTTTTAACCAGCAGGCTATGGGGGCCAAGCACAAGTGCGACACCACTGAAAGGCAGAACCTGAGTATTCACCCCAAAATGAGAAAGACAAAGTCTAGGGTAGGATCTGCCTTTGGTGGCAACTAGGGGAAGGATTAGTGGCTGCTGTTGTGCCGCACCAGACCTCTAGGAGACAGAAAACAGGCTTCAGATGGCTTTGTACAAATAAGGCCAGTGTATATATGCACACTCACCCCCCCACACCCACACACCCACCCACAGATAATGCTGGAAAGATACCAGGACATCACATCAACACTTCTCCAGGCTTCAAACATCTGTATTGCTACTTTTTCCCCATCATCTTATTAGATACACAGGTTAGAAATCAGCCTTTTTCTTTCCATGATGGGACTCATCCCCTTTCTACCAACTGCCCTCTTCATTGCTTTTCCACAACATAAGGACTGTTTTTCCATTTTGTCCATTTTCTCTGTGTGTGCAAAAATGTCCCCCACACACATCAACTAGAGATACACATCACTATTGTCTGTCTCATAAGTAGGCATAAATCCACACACAAAGATATGTGTGCATAAACTTCTCTCCCTACACACACACATATTAAGATATAAAAAAAACCCAGGGAGCTACATCTATAATGCCATATCTAGCCAATTTTTTGAAAAAAATACTAGTAGCTTGAGTGTTAAATTGTGCTGATTTTCAAACAACAGCACTTTAGGAAAAAAAATCCAGTAAATGTATTCAAACTAGTGGAAAAACTTAAATGAAAATTTAAACCAGTGCCTACTTATCACTATGTAGAGGAAGTTGCAGGCATCCCAGGCACCATAACAACAGCTATGAAATGTTGTACCTATCAAACAGCTTGCTTACCTGCAGACCTGGCTCTGTCCTGGGAGCAGCACTTCTTTCAGCTGTCAGGTTTGCCTCCAGCTGACCAATGCATTTAACTATTTAAGGAGCATAGGAGAGGAGTGGCCTCTGCTTCTCGCCTCTAGCAAGTAATCACAGGCACATTATGCATGAGGGAGTGTCAGCAAAGCAATGTGGTAACAGGATACTACCGGCCTGTGAGGCTCCTACTACATGGGGGCTCCAGCCAAGTGGCCGCATATGTTCCTTTATCATGTAGGGTATGAGAATGACATGGACGAGGACTCAGCTGCCTCAATACTGGGCAAAATAAACCATAAAGGCTGCTCTGGGAGGGTGCTTGCCGCTGGACAGAGCCCGTGTAAGAGTAGACTGGGGGCATGGGGTGCTTTTTAGTTATTCATCACAGATCTGTCAGTTGTGAAGTCATCAACTCTCAGAAGTGGGAAAGAAAATAGCAGAGTCCTAGTGCCCCCCAGATGTGTTTGGCTGATGCCACCCTGTCGTGCTAGAGGAAAGAGGCTACGCAGTTGTGCCTCCTTGTTCAGTCCACACCTACATCCCTGCTCGTCCTGCTTTACCCTTCTGGTGAAAGGATAAGGAAAGAAAGTAGCCAGGAATAGGAAAGAGGATGCTGGATGAAGCAACCTTGCTATCTTTCATCTTGCATCCTCCTGCCCCAACCTCTTATATCCTGTTCTGCCAGCTGGGCATGGGTGTTTTATTCTGTTCATACACCCTCTCCATGGCAAAACAGCACGAGCTACACCCCTTCACAGCCAAGTCCCCTTTCAAGACTAACATAACACCAGCCACCGCTTGCAACATCTCTAATTTAACTCAGACTTTGCCATGGGGGCCACAGATGACTGTTGGTGTGGGGTTACTTTGTGCGGCCAGAACAACTGAAGTCAGCTGAGGGAGGAGGAGAGCTTGTGCTAAAGCCAGCTGGTTTTCCTTCTGTGGAAAGTAGGAGGGAGGAGGACTGTTAAAGGCGAGGGTAAGCAGGGCCCCACGACAGCAGGTTATGTCTGCCTTCAGGAAGCAGCAGCAGCTATTGCTATTAAACTGTGGCCAGACAGTTTCATAAATCTTGCTGTGTGACTTGGTTCAAACTACTCATTTTTCACAGGTCTAATGTTCTCTGGATAGCACACAGTGCCTTGAAAGTATCAGCAGCTCATTAGGCGAGCTGCACCTTTGGCTAACGAATGCAGAAATAGGAAGGGAATTAGCAGGGAGCTACTGGTTGGAGGAAAGAAACCTGAGGGCTCCCAGGCAGCAAGGATGATGGGGAAAGAGAGGTTTGGTAAACTCCCTCATGTGTCTTCCCCCATTCGTGCATAACCCCCCACTGCTGCCAGACGGCTGGAGCTGTTTTACAGCTCACCCCCAGCTCTCAGAGCAAAATGTGGTGCTGAAAGTATTACTGGTTTAAAGCCACCATCCCTCTAAGAGCCAAAACCCAGCAGAGAGCACAAAATGCCAGCAGGCCTGGCCTGTCTCGCTGGTCTTGCACTGGGCAGAGAGGGGTACCCGGGCTGGCTGTGAGCCAGCTGGCCGGACAGGGCAGTGCCCGGCGGAGATGCCGGCGGGGGCCGGGGAGCGGCGTGCCCCACGGCATGGCTAATTAGCCAGCTTCTCTGCAGGGCTCCTCAGATTAGACCCTGCACTATACTGAAGTTGCTGTCTTGTTTTCGGTTTCAGAGGAAGCGTGGTCAGGGCTAGGGAAAGGTGAGCCTCACACCTTGACCTTCTGTCCCATCACATATAGCTCTTTTGTGGTTCTTGTCCCCACCCCTCTACCTGGCTGGAGGGTGGAGATGGAAAACCCACCTGTTTTCATACCTCTTGCCTACATTTGATGGTCCTTTTTCCTCGGAAACAAAATCAAATGGAAATGTAAAAGTACAAACACTGTTAACAAACCTCTTGGTGACAATGGCCATCTGATCACAGGCACAATGTGGGAATATGAGCGGCACAGGCTCAAGCGTACACTAAAGGTGGGATTTGTTCACTGCCTGGGACTGCATGGAGAGCTTCCCGGCTTAATGGGGAGAGACAGCCCTCAAGAGGAGCTTGCTTTCTAATGACTGCGATTAGTGTCAGCCTCTAGCCTGAGGACAGTAGAAGTGCTGTGAGATGGACTCCCCCCTCAGTCATACCAAGTCAAGAGACGTAGGATTCCTACTTCCCAAGACAGGACAGCAAGGATCCCACTCACCCAGAGGAAGCATCCAGATACGATTCCCATTAATGAGAAAGAAGGAGCTGGGGTAGCATAAGATGTCCAGGTGAGGGGGGAGGGCAGAAATTATGGGAGTGTGTCTCAGGACTGGATCCCACTGCAGTGTGGATGGAGTGAGGCATGCAGCCACAGCCATGTCCCCTGACCAGGAACAAGCACTCAGCATCTGCCTAATGGTGACAGCCTCCTTCCTCCACCCACAGCCCTGGAAGTCTGTGCCAGTGCCAGGTGGCACCTTTCTTTTAAAAAGGAATGAAGGATGAGGGTTTGGAGCATGAGCATAACATCAGGGTCAGAGGAAGTAATTCTGACAGTCTTTCAGTGGAGGCATATGGACCCCAGAATAAGCTGGGAAGTTTCCATCAGCTTTATAGGAGATAGACCAGGGCACATCAGCTGAGGATCTGATTCTCTTACTACTGAAGCTTCATTTTTTCAAAAAGATAGCATAAGGAAACAATACACACCAGAAAGGCTGGTTTAATTTTTTTTTTTTTTCACAAATGTTGGATTTTAAAGTATTGCCAACTCTATAGTGAGAATCAAAGACCTGGAGTGGGTTTAAGAGCTGGTGAAAATTGAATTAATCTCGGTACTTCCTCTCTTCCAGGACCAAGGACACCTGGAATTACATGCAGGACATGACCAAGACAGGCAGATGTGTCTTTAAAATCCTATGGGTTGAAATGAGCCAGGAACAGAAGATTCATCATGCTACTGAAGTGCCTGGACAAGCCCAGATGAGCTTCAGACTTGAAGCATTTCCCATGCACACTTTCCTCTGCAGCGTGCTGGCTTGTTTTCCATGCTCTCACCCCCATGGGATATAAGGTGGATCATGTCTTCAAGTGATATTTCCTGTTGAGCCAGGGCAACTTGCCTGCCTCAGAGGAAGTGGGAGGAAGGAATGTCTGGATCTAAGATGAGTGACAGAGCATTCATCACGTGGCTGAGTCCTGCAAACAGACCACACTGGTCATCGGGGACAATGGGGTACTAAGGACCTCAACCCCATGTGGTTTCTTGCACGTTAAGCCCTGTGACTTCCTCAAAAACAATCTAGGTCATGCCCTGACAGGCATTTACTCCGGGAATGAACCATCCCCTGGACAGGGATGCTGAGGGGTGCCCCTTCCCCAGCAACCCTGATGGGGGTTGCTGTTGGCTGGAGGACCCCAAGGTGTCTCAGAGGCAGGCCTGGCTTGCCCACAAGGATGGGGCACAATGCCCAGGAGGCTGGCACGCTGCTGCAGCACTGACAGGAGACCTGCTCTGCGGGGAACTGGAGAAGCCAGCACCGGAGGAGAAATATGTTGAGTTTGCAGAGAGTTAGGCAAGAGTTGGGGAGGATTTATTAGAGTACTGAGCTATGTTATGTAGAAACCCCCTTCCTAGGTAGGACCCTGGTTGGGCAGGGTGATAATCTGCCGTGTCTGTCTCCCAGCTTCCTCTCAGTGGTGGCTGAGTCATCTTGGCTTCCTAGAAGAGGCTGAGAAGGGGCACTCACTCGTGGAGCCTGAGGGTGAGGGCTGCAGGTAATGGCCCCAGCACAAGGCAGTGCACATTGCCTCTCGCGCGGGTCAGACCATGTCATGAATGGCATTGCCCAAGTTTCTGTGGCTGAGAATGAGCCAGAGCTTTCATTTTGTTGTTGCAATAATATGCCTTGGGCTAGTCCTGGTTATCTGGTGACCTGTTTCTCCCTCTCCACGCTCAAGTGTAGGTGTGAGAAAAAGCTCACCTGAATCCTTGAGTATTTTTGCAAAACACTATTGCAGCCCTGATTGTACCCTGGGACTAAGTGGGAACAGCATGGTGCTGGCACATCTGCTCAGGGGTCGCTGCTCTGTGCCCATGCACTGCACCGCAGACACGTGGCTCACTCCTTCTTAACTGTTTTTTCCTACAGATATTCCTTTGGATATTCCCAATACTCCTCAATGATAGGGGTGAACCCTGAATAGCTACTTGCACATTAAATATATCAGATGAAAGAAAAGAGCTTCTGCCTTCTCTGAGATATGCAGTGTGAGTCAGATGGCAAAAATAATGTTATTAGACATTGTATTGTGAGTGGTTCTGATGATAAAAGTCTCAGGCAATTAAGTTTAGGCTCGTTGTTTCTTTCTTCCTTTTTTCTAGCTTTTCCAACATTTATTGGCTGGTCCTTCTAAATGCATTTAGCTATCTCAGTACTCCAGTGTAGCAGACCTCCACAGCTTTTGTTGCTCTCCCACCATTCTCAGACTCTCCCATTGCCAGGAAATTTAATTTTCTAATGCTGAGTACTGCTGTGACCCCACATCACCAGGAGGCAGCCAGCGCTGCTGGGACCTGTCCCCTTGCAGCAGAATGTGCTTCAGACACAGGCATTGCCAAGCACTGCAGACTCATCCATGCTTCATCACTTGATTCATTTCACGTGCGGGCTCTGGGCAGATGTAACCGCTGCAGGAGTTGCTGGTCTCAGAGCCACATCCAGGTTTTGCCGCTTGTGACTCACCTACTGACAGTAAAGTTCTGGATATTGCCTTTTAATTGTACCTGTGAAGCAAAAAAGATGCACATTTATTGTCGTCCAAGGTTCACGTTTTTGGCTCCTGTCCAAACACATGGTAATACGATTTGAGTAGTATCACCTCCAGGACAGCAGTACAAGCAATTGCCACTCCCATCCTGTGCTTCACATCCTGTTTCCACCACAGGCTACGCATTAAGGAGCTCTTGCTGAGGAAAATATCACCCTGGGACAACCTGAGCCAGCCTGCGGCGGTGGCTGCTGGCCTCTGGTGACACCAGAGGACAAGTGGTGGCCTCCCTGCAGAAGGAGGGAAGCTGGAGCGGGAAAACTGAGCACAGCGGGATGCTGGAGACTGTCATAATCTGTGATGAATGATGAAAATATCCATGATACTTCGCAAAGATCTTTTCTTCTGCCGTATTTGACTCCTGATTGCATTCAGCCATCGGAGTAGGTGGAAGAGGAGGGCACAGAAAGGGCTAACACCATTGGAAGAGAAGTCGTGTTTGCTGCCCTGTGGGTGCAGCCACCGGCAGAGATGCAGCTGCGGCAGGGCCATTACCCTTCAGGGTGCTACTTCTGAACCATTGCCGTGATGAGCTTGTCAGACATTGACCTGGAGTTGGACATTTCTAAAACCGTAGGCTGGGCAGCTAGAAACAGCTGTTGGGGATCTGCCCATAATATCCCAAAAATGGAAGAAGGAGGTGTCAGCAGAGGAGGAGTACTTGTGTAGGACCATGATCTAGGGAGGCACCTGGTTATGGCCACACATGATGGCAGTTTAACAGGTTGTCCCATGTTGTCCCTGCCACTCTAATTGCCTATTTCCTCTTCCCCCTCTCCTGAAGATTTCCAGATAAAATGTGTTAGCCTGAACCACCTGCACTGGGGTTTAACGTGTTTCCTCAGAGCAGGCCAGGAGCATGCACCTGTGCAGCTGGCCACCGACTGGTACATACTGGTCTGGTCCCTGCAGGAGGTGCGGGCTTGCCCTCCTCATTGAATGGAAACTGTAATGTGGACTAAGATAAATACATCAAGTTGCAACATCCCTTTTCTCCTTTTCTAAAATATCACAAACTACTTAATTCTCTGAAAGTCCCCAAAAGTGCCAACCACTCCTGTGGATAAATAAAGAGGAGAACCCAGGTACAGGGTAGCGCACTGCCTGTGTCATTTCCCACTGAAGGAAGTTCGGGAGGGAAGAGGAAATCTGACCGGAGCTGGAGGAAGGGAGCAAAAAACAGTGCTACCAGTGCAGCCATGATGTCCCTGGTACCCCAGGTCCTGGGTGTCTTAGCAGGTGAGCTGGGAAGCAGGCCCGGGATTTTGGCATGGCTGCTGGCCCCTGTGAGCAGCTACTGGATGGATTCATTGTCATTTAACTTGACCAACAATTGCCTCTGCTGTTATTGCAGTTATGCCTTGGCCTCCACATGCAGTGCCACAAAATGCTGAACACACAATATGGTAAGGTAGTTTTCCTCTTTTTTTTACACTACCAGATCAGAAGGTACCAGTTTAAATCATATAACACTGTTCTTCAGACCAGACCAGATCATTTCCCTCACTGGCCTCACGCTGGAATGTGGTGATGCCCTATACTATAGGGTGATGCCCTTTCCTTTGACCCTGGTGAGTCCAAATCAGGGTGAGATCCTGTTCCCACTGCTGTCAATGACAGCACTGCCATCAGTAGAGACATTATCATTACCTGCTCAAGCCTAGCCAGGGGTGTCTCCAGGGTGAAGAGCTGCCCCACATAGCCAGGGTGGACAAAGTCATGTTCCCTTGGAGTGACATGGGAAATGAGAGAAAAATAGGTCATAAATCTGAGCCGGGGTAGTCTGCCCTTGAGATACCTGGTGGTAGCTTCAAAGAGCCTGTCAATTTCTGTATTTCAGTGACTTCTATGAACAGAAATGAGGAGCAATATGCATATAAAGTAATCCAGAAAAGACTGTTTAAAAGGCACATGTTGTATTAAATATTTTGTTACAAATAAAGAAGACCCTGTCCCTATTGCCTGTATTCTGCAGTGAGCTAGCCAACACCACTGGGAATTTGAATTAGCACAAACCAGTATGTTTCTCATCTGCTTACTTTTATTCAAATCACATTTTACTCTGGTACAATCCCTTTCTCAAGGTCATAATTTGGATGGAAAGACTATTGGCCTGTTGCTGTTAAAGAGAGATATCTCACTTCTTTTTTTGAGGGGAGGAAATAAATAGAACCACAGCAGAAGGTTAATTTTAGGTGCCAGTCCTGCTGTGGGCTGCCTGAGGATAAATCTCCATGGCTGCTTGGCTGGCAGAGGGTGCCTGACTGATCAGTGTGCTGCTTTGTCTATTCCTGCACCATAAATCTTGCATATTAAAGTGAAAAATGAATAAAAGCATGGGGAGGATTCGATGGTTTACTCCTCTGCTCTCTGCACTCAGCTCAGGGTTAGAACCACCCCTGAGTCCCCGGGGAGCGGGACTGCTGGGGGTGAAGCTTCAGAGGCACCTGTGGGGCAAGCTCGGCTCAAGCTGCCTGGAGAAGGGATCTTGCCTGCAAGTGCAGAGCTGGTATGAGATTACTGTTTGCACTCTTATCCCAGATTCGTTTTGCATTGTTAGGTGGGAAGCTGATAATAAAGGCTTAAGAAAATATTGCCTGGGCAAAAAAGTCCCATCAGATTGGAGGTTCCTTAGCCTGCTGTTGCCATGGGTCTGAGTAAAGCCCACAGGCTTGAGGCTTATGTGCACAACAGTGAACCAGAACAGCTGCTAAATCTACTGTTCCTCTGACAAATTACCCTGCCACTCGGAGCTGGAGGTCACAAGGAAAAAGGAAATCGGAGCTCAGTCTTTGGGAACAATGGGTTAGATCCTCTGCTGATATGGCTCCCTTCGGCTGAGGCAGAGGGGTTATGCTCCTTTCTGCCCAGCGAGGGCCTGTGGACCCGTGGGGGAGGCTGGGGAGGGAGGTCTGAAGGCCAGCAGTTGTGCTTTGGAGGGAAACCCGAAGAAGGGTGAATCCTGCAATGAGGGGAAGCTGAAGAGGTACTGCTGATGGGGCTGTGCCAAATGAGCATCACCTCCCCAGCAGGTAAGTGTGCTGTGCTGAACAGCAGCTGGTCATCAATCCCTGACCCTTGAGATTAAAGCAAAATGAATGCTCACAGCTGGGCTCGTGAGCTATGCTTTTCTTGTATAAAACTATGAAAGCTACCACATCTAGAAACAAAATCAGAGCTATCATATACTGAGAATCCATTTACTGGACGTCGGTCAAAATCAAACAGTGTATTTCCGTGAAGGTCATTTGTTTCAGGTTGTGTGGTGTATCTGTCATAAAACTGCTATCACACTCATCAGATCAATGATGAATTAAGCATTTTTTTTTTTTAGAGCAAGTGGTCTTACATTAAGGTGTCACATTTTATTTTGCTTGGCTCTTGGTCTTGGCAGGTTGGTGGCCCCTGGACCAGTGTGTGGATTTTGTGGACTGAACAGAGGAATTATTTTGGTGAGCCTGAGTGTGCCTCTGAAAATAATGCACTGTAGCCCAACCAGAAGCTCTGAGCCTTCCTGGAGAAAGTATTTCATTAGAATCTTTGGCCTTTCTTCTGATAAATCAGATCAGATGGTCACAATGTTCACTTCTGGATTTAGCATCACTTCATTTTCCATCTATATTTATATACATCTTCCTTTTGTCCTGAAGGACACTCATGGGTGCAGTTGAAAGCTGGCTTTAGAAACTATTCTTTCAAGCCCTGCCCTAGAACTACCAAGAATTAAGTGCTTTTCTTGCCTGTTTCAACATGGTATGGGCCTTTGTTACTTGTCATTTGAAGACAGTTGACTGGGACTGTTTCTCTGCTTGAATGTGTCTACGAAGCCAGCTGCATGTTCAGGCCCAGCCTCAGGGAGAAGCCTCCTGCCCACCTCACTGGTGAAATGCAGCATGACCTTTTGCAGCCTCCTGTGCCAAGCAATCACATTTGTGCTGGCCCCTTGAGAAATTTCTTGAGAAAGGCTTTGTGGAGGTTTCGCATGCATAGCTGATGACTCCAGCTGGATAAAGAGATTAAGGAGTGAGTTTGGCATAGTGATAACAACGTGTAAAATTGAAACAGGATGCCATAGAAATATTATATAATTCCAGTTATTGGCTGTAAAGAATGTTCTGCTTGCTTCTGATTGCTCATATCTTCTATTTTTATCAGTTTCCTTCTGCTTGTCTTTGTGACGTTTCCCGTTGTAGCAGGTCTGACCCAACCAACTGCAAATAAAGATAACACTGATAACTATAAAGTGAGAAGGCGGAGGAGCTCACTTCAGGCTTGCACACTTGGGCTGCCTTTGACTGTAAAGTATTTTCCAGATGGACTACTTAATACTAGGGGTTTGAACTCTCATACCTGCAGGTCTAAGGATTTCTGATGGATGTAACGAAAAGCTAGGAGCTGCAGATGCAAGTTCACCATGAGATGAGAAATAAGAACCAGGGCCTGCAGCAGTCACAGAGTTACCCAGAGTCTGGGCAACCCGGACAAGTTTCCAGGGCAGGCAGGAAAGGGAAGAGGGAGACCTCATCTTTCCGTGAGTCAGTGGCCACATAACCTAGTGAAAAACTGCCCTGGAGCTTCTTCTCCTAAGGTGTGAGGATTGACTTTCCTCTCCAAGAGGTACAACACAGAATCTTGTCTGCATTTGTGCTGTACCACAGTTATTCACAAGTATTTTATTTGTGTGCCTTTGTACCACACAACTTTCAGGTTAGTCTGCAACTGTACAAAACAAAGCCTCTCAAAATATAGACAGGAGAGACCCCGTTATACTGGGCTTTGATTTTTGCTTGAGAGCTTTGTGCATTACCATCACATTGGTGTTACCAGTGTAGTGCTTAAATTCAAAATGCTATTCCTATATAATGCTGGCATTTCTATGTAATGTGATTTCTATTATAAAAACCATAAGTAGATAGAGAGCAATCCCTGTGCCTGGAGGTATGCTCATTAGACCAACCAGCAGCAAGACTACTAACTAGAATAAACCACAGCTGATGAAGCCAGGGACTCCAGCTGTTGGGAACGAGAGAAAAATAAACCTCTGACAGTGTCCCTGGTTATTTTGTGTCTCTTGAACAAAAGACTTTTAAAGTTTGGGCCAAGGAAAGTGTAACTGTTGCCTAATGAGTTTAAGATTCTTCATTCTCCCCAACCATCAGGAAATCAGAAAAGGTGAGCTCTGTGTGATGGTAATTACAGGACAGGTTTGTTGCTGGCCTTTGGTCTATGGCAAAGATGACGAGTGAGTGAACTAATCACACATTTCTAGGCACTCCGTGGCCAGCGAATGCTCTTTCTCCTGTTGCATGAAGTCAGAGATGGGTCCCGTGTCAGCCATCCTGCATGAGTCAGTGGTAATGACAGAGGAAGTGCGAGCTGTGTTTACAAGCCCTGGAGGATGCTCGGCAATGCAGGCTGCAGCTTGGCTCCCACTTCACATCTCCAAAACTGTTATTACATAATCCAGAGCTATACAGAAAGGGATTTCAGAGCCTTTTTCAAGAAGTGCATGCAGAGAGATCTGGCTTACCTGAACCCTTAAGATCACTCGATATGTACTCTCACCTGTCCTGTGATCAGAATAATCCTTTCTAGCCTTAAAAAAATCTGCATCAACAGAGCATCACATGAGGGCTAGCTACCCAACCAATGCCTTGTGCAGAGCCACTGGGCTCCAGGTGGGCACAAGACCTTCCTCCCTCGCTGAGGGGACTGCTACCCCACGGCTATTTCTCCCCTTCTGCAAGGCCTAGTGTCGCTTCTGGGGGGCGAGGAGGGGGTTGCAACAAAACCCAGGGTGCCCTAGGGCAGGCACTGCTGGGGTTGCAGCGGACAGCTGTGTGCAACACGTGCCTGAAGCCTGCACCCAAGCCAAGCTTAACCCAGCTATTGCAAACCCTGGGAGTTTACTCGAGGTGAGGAATTTCTTCCTGACATTTTGATATTTCTCCAGATCTAGGTGTACCAAGAGATATCCCAGCACCCAGGCCTGGCCCTGGTTAATAGGGTGTAGAAAGGGGACGGGTGAGTGGGTGCCCATCAGGTAGGATCGGCACTCTTTCTGTGAGATTGTGTAACAGGTCAGGAGAAAAAAAAACATCTGAGACCACAAGCACAGTTTGTAATTCATATTTTATTGCTTTGTACGAGTGAAAAAATAGGGGGAAAAGGAGAACTACAAGACTGAAAGGTAATGTGAAAGCCCACAGTGGGAGTCCACAACTGCCACTGAAGGGTCATTTGTAGCCTGGTGGCACAGAAAAGTGTTATGACTAAGGGACAGTGGTTCTCTTCTTTTTTAAATAAATAAAATGGCAGAGCTGAAAAAAAAAAAAAAAGTGGAAGCCAAATAATGCTGACAATCACCCTTGTCACAAATAACTACACCGAGCTATTAAAATAAGGTGATCAGCAAGTGCCTAGACCCAAAATACCTGAAAACACCTGTGGTGGAGAGGGAACTGCAGGAGGGAGCCCTTTTAACAAGCTTAAAGTTCCAAAGTTTTAATATAATTAAAGACCATTTTTGATGCAAGTTTGAACACTGTCAGTAATGCTGCATGGGCCTGCCTCTGGAGAACCAGAAAGCAAGAGCATTTGCAGTCTCACAGGGGGAGGGAAATGAAAGTAATAAACAGACTGCATGGTGAGATCCCAAAAGAGCAGTGCCCAAGCTGAGAAGTCAACATTTTTCCAAAGCTTGGCTTTGGTTTACATTCCCCTAGAGGAAAAAGTGACTTGGATAAATAAGCTGATGGAGATCTTCCAAGCTGTTCAAGACACTGAAAACATGTATCTTGTCCTCAGCTTAATGATAGGCACCATATAAATATTTTTTAAAAAATTCTCAAACCCTGCATTTTTAATTGTCCTAAGTATTATGGGAACACAAACATGGCTGGAATATTACTTTAATGAAAGTGCAGTGCTAAAGAACTACCTATGCATGGAAAAGGGATATGCTGTGACTGGTATCGTTTGCCTGGCCAAATATTTGGCTAGCTATCTGCCCTCGCCTTGCCTTTGAAGTGGCTGCTCTGTGAGACTTTCTTTCAAGCCTTTCCCACTTCTCTTTCCTCTCCAGTAACTAAAATGGGATGTGTATCTGCAGAGCAGAAATAAAACCCCACTTCTGCCCAGACCATCACTTCTTTGATCCCAAACAAGAAAACAGGCTTCAAGCTGTTGAGGCTGCTATTTTGAGTAACACAATGTCCTGGGGAGCCCTATTTCTCCCTTTTAACAGAGACAGATGATAACTGCTGCCACAGAAGCCGATTTCGGCTGCCACCGTGCCCCCGTGGCTCGGCAAATGTGGCCTGCCGAAGGAGGGAGTAAGGAGGCCAAGGGCAGTAAAACTTTGCACGGACCTCATGTTGAATACTGCAATAGAAAAACAGCTATACCGAGGCAGGCTGCTCTTGGGAGCTGGAGGAACTGCTCCCAGGCTTTAAGCACAGGCATAAGATGCGTTAGTGGTTAAATATCAGACACTTTGTGGAACTGCTTTTCACAGAGTGGAAATTCACTTTCCAACCAAGGCATAGCACTTAGGTCTTGTGCAATAATTAAATGTGATTGAAACCCTTGAAATATTACACACTTGAATGGCATAGAACCTATGGGCTGCTGAATATTTGTGCAGGGGTGGATATTGCTGCCAGGATCAATCCCTATCCACAAGAAGGAAAACCAGAAGTAGCTGGCAAGGCCAGTCTGGGGTACCTGCTAAAAACTAGGGACAGTCACTAAAAAATTTCCCTCCAAATTCTACATTTTTCAACAGAAACAGTTTTCAGAAAAAAATATTTAAATATTTTTCTAAAATTTTATGTCAAAGAGGTGCATAATTCTGAAAAAAAAAAAAAAAAGGTAATCCACAACATTGTACAATTTATAAAATTATTATTCTATGCTGGACAAAAATTCAAATGAAATATTTCAGCTACTTTTTCTTGGAAGAAACTGGTCTTACTTGAAAATGATTACCTAAACCATACTTGGCCGTTAACACCTCTAGCTTGCGTTTGATCCAATTTGGTTTTAATTATACCGACTACTGCAAGTGTTCACGCTAGCAATGCCAACATTTGTTTTTTTCACTAGGTGAAGCTGATGAAGTCCATGATACTCCGTCCGCGTGTCCTCCCTCCTCGACCTTACAGTGACTGCAACAAGATACTGGTGGCCGGGCACTTTTGCAGCACTAGGACCATCACAGACCCATCAGCTTCACCATCAGTTCACAGTTTTTTAGGCTTGACCAAGGCCAGTCCATGCGGCTCTGCAGATGGGCAAGCAGCTAGCCAGGTATCAGGCGGGTTGTCCCTGTGCAAAGTGTAATTCTTTCTCTCATTTTGCTAGGAAGACTTTGCCTCAGGAATCTGCATGGTTGGCTGCTCCACGGCCAGCTGGTTTTCAAAGACACAGCACAGCTTGTAACTTTCTATGAGCTTGGCTTGAAAATACTCCCTGTCCTTCTTGTGCCAAATGTCTGTGGCAATGTAGGTATTGTAGGGGTCGCGGGAGTCCTCCAGCCTCCTGGCGCGGATGTTGGTCAGCATGACTCCCACAGTGAAGAAGCCAAAGAGGCCGATCATCAGTAGCACGTAGATGATTTCAAGGTTGTTGCTGGCACTTCTGACCTGGGAAGCTGCAGAGCTATTTGTCTGCTCCAGGTAGTCCTGAAGCAGCTTGGAGAGGAGTGAATTCAGGGCTGTGTCGTTAGACAGCACCAACATCTTGTTCTTCTGTGCTTCTCACTTCTTTCTTTCTTAATTATATTTTAGCTAGAAAAGAATAAAAAGAAGGGACATGCCATCAGATAAGGATGCGATTCCCTCTGTCTCCCTTAACTTGCTCCCTCCTCAGCGACAAAGTTACCTCAGGGCCGGCACAGAGGCAGGGTGGCTGGACAGACCTGGAGAGACCTCTTCACCTCCTGTTTCCAAGCCAGGCTACTTAGACGAGTCCATCCCCCATAAAGGCTTGCCTTGCAAAACCTCCTCAGTCTTCACAGGTGGTCTGGCGCAGTGTGCAACTGCCCTGGCTGTTGGCCACTCATCCAGATACCTCACCCAGGCCTCCCGTGCTGCTTTTTAAAGCCCGTGACTTCTTCCCTAGGCCCCCACAGGCATGAGGAGTGTCTTACTCCCACTCTACAGCAACTGATTCTGGCTTTGAAGATTTTGATCATGTCTTCCCTTGGTCCTCTCTCCTCCACTTTCAGCTTAAGGATTGAATTTGGAAACAAAACTTCTGTACCTGATCTTCAATGAGTGGAAATCACTCAGTACCTGCAGCCAGCTCCTCCTGTCCAGCCCTGTTGAGGAGCCTTGCTTTTCTTCTTCAGCTCCCATGCCAAACTGAGCAACCAAATCTCTGACAGAAATGTATCCCACACTAATTTAATGCAAATTCACAATGTGCATTTGCCCAGGGAGTAGACACAGAGGGAGTTTATATTAATTGCCTACAAAGCAGTGGAAAGGAAAAGCATCTTCATCCTCCCTCCTACAAGCTAGCAACAGTTCAATTCTTTCCCCTCCATACTAAAACGCTATGCAACTGGTGTTTTATTGTCTGGTTAGGAGGACTTCCACCGGCATCACTGCAGGTCAGGAACAGGGCCTGAGTCAGTAGCACCAAGAAGCACCTGGATGTCCAAAGCCTCCCAGCCGTGGCACTCTTCATTGACAATCTTACACAAGATTCTAAAGGGTCTTTTTCCCCTTTCCAATGTCAACTGTAATTCAGTTAGTAAGAGCAATCCCATCAGCACTGCAAAACCTCAGCAGCCAGGTAACATCACTGACAACCTCACTAAAATGCCTAATTTTAATGTCTCTAGAAAATTAAGACAACAGTCTCCCTCTGGTTTTGCCCTTAGCACATCTGAATGAGGTACTGTTATTCAAGGTGACTTCTGTGACAGCAATCTTGTAATCACATAAGATGGCTGTCAGTGCTTTCTACAGTTTTCAATCTGTGACAGCATGTTAGCAAAAGCTTCTCCAGCATACTTAGCTTTTGTTTTGGTTGGTCTTTTTTTTTTTTTTTTTTTTTTTTTTTTTAAAAAAAAAAAAAAGGTATTATATTATAATAATTTATAATACATCAAGAAGTAAATGAACCCTTGGGCAGAAAGCCACCAAAAAGCCTAGGCAGCAATTACACCCCTCCATGAGGGCGACATTAATGATGCATAGATATTGTGCAGGACCTCTGCACAGGAGGGAGTTTAGCTGTGCACACAGCCTCCAGCTGCCAGTAATGACACTGCAGCAGATGAGATGTATCTAGTGGCTTCTTTGAATTGTCTGTGCTTTGCTATGGCATAAATGCTGTAAAAGGAGATGCTGAGACAGGGGAAGCAAGAAGAGGACACTGATCTTATGACCTGCCATCCCTCATATGAAGAACAGTTATTTACCCAGCATGTTCTGTGCTAGTAGGTGCTGTTGGCAGCCGAAAGAAATACACAATTAATGCGAACATGAATATGATCAAACATACTCACATAAATTAATTGCTAATGAAACTACGTGTGTTGATATTTAGTCTGAAACATTTTGCTAGACCTTCTAGCCATGCAGTCATGGATTTGGGGCTGGGTCTCACTGAAAGTCAGACACTTAGCCCAGGATGATAAATTCTGTGGAGAAAGCCCTGTTCTTCTCACCGTACAACCCTGGGGGACATGAGTGGCACCAGCCCATGCCAGATGACATCAGACTGCTTCCCCTGACAAATAGGTGACCACTTGGAGCCCAGGTCAGGCTCCTGTGGGCTCAGACTCACCCTGCTCCAAGCAAGCAGTTCCTTGGTGATGGAGTAGGAAAAATGAGCACACATGAGAGTATGCCTTGGTATTTTGGCTTTAAATAGAGCTGAGCCTGAGGGTGGCAGAGGGAGACAAAAATCGCCAGTACAAAACAATATTCTGATCCAATTTATTTCTTCAGTTGCATGAGTCAAAGCTACAGGAAATAACATCTTGGCAGCTTGGGCTTAATAGTTAAAATCTATTCACATTTCACAGCTGTTTTCAGATCTTTTAAAAAGGAAAGGAAGAGAAAAAGAAGTTTAAACCTTTATCTGAGATTACTCCTCCTAAGCATGTAGAACATGTCAACACTGTAAAATGTAAAACCACTAACAAATTGCAATAACTTTAAGAGAAAACAAAAAAGAATTTCACAGGCGCTGCCAACTTTCTCCGGAAAGACAGGCAATCATTTCTCGTAATAATTATCAATAGAACTGAAGACACTTCAGCTGCTGATGAATTGAAATTTTGGGGCTAGATATCCCCAGCTACCCCCCCTATATTCTTTTGAAGGTTTCTGAGGGTTGCAAGGTATTTCTCACTTCTGGGTTGCTTGCGTGCCAGCTGGGCTGGAAGTCGCAGGGAGCTGAGCAGCACCATCTCCGTAACCACATCAGATGGCAATAACAGGAGAGGTTAAGGGAGGGAACGGGCATGCTCCTGTTCCCCAGAAAATCTCCTGAAATCACAAGAAGCCTAAAGGCCTCACCCACCACTTCAGGAGCCCTGTGCAACTCCACTGAAATCCATACTGGGACCACTTTAGAGCTGGCAGGACTGGGAAGAGCCACTTGTGCCATTGCCCCACTTCATGACAGATGGTCACATCTTACTGTCCCAAAAGTGCTTTGTTTTGACCATAACCAGAGTGGCTTTCTGCTCCCCATTACTGTCCACAGATGACTGCTGATGGTCTGCAAATTGTGACCAGTTCCCTCACGGGGCTCCCCTGATGGCCTCTGAGCAAAATCATGCTCAGCCCAAAATTAGCATCCTGGTTTACCTGGGTTGCATCCTGGTAAACCAGGGCCTCTCCTGGCATGGTGGTCCCCATCCCATGTCATTCCACAGGGGGGTTCAGTGCATGCCAGGGGGGTAACTCCTCCTACCTCTCTTGGGAGGGGCAAGCATTGAGCATGAACTGCCCTTGTTAAAAATGACCTAGGGCAAAACTGAACAGTTCAGGAACTTTTTCTCTAGCCAGTGATTCAAAGGGAATTCCTCAAGGTTGGCAGCAGTCTGGGCCACATCCTGATCTAAGATGCATTGCTGCTTCTCCATCCATTATACTAAATACAAGTGACAGATCTCCAAAGCAAAAACAATGGGCTCAGTGCAGGTTGTTTTCCAACACATGGGTTTCCCAGGAGTGCAGGTGTACTGCTGGCATAGCCCAAACTCATCTTCCATCAGGCGGCATCAATGACCCGAACCACTGCCCCATCAGCCATGGCCCATGGTGCTGAACAGCACCACCGGAGCTGGCCCTCCCTCACTAAGCCTTGTCCCTTTCCTCACTGTCATCTGCCATGATTCCTCTCTTTCTCATGCCATGGATTTCTTGTGGGGGGTGGAGAGAAGCCTCCCCTGAGTGATATCTTCGTGGATAGTGTGGGTTTAGGATGGCAAGCAAGATGCCACAGGCAGGTCCCTGAAGTTGAGGAACAGACAAAAGCAGGACTCTAAGAGACATATCTAAAATCTACACCATAAATGTCTCTGTGTGATCAGAGGGGTATGGCCCACAGTTTCTACAGTCAGTGGAGGGGAGAAAAGCATCTGAAGGCAGCTTAGACACCCTTTCCAAAGCATTTGAAAATACTGTTTATAAAGGAACAGGTTCTCAGCAGATGTAAAACCATACATTCGTTCTAACTTTGTGAAGATCTGAGGATCCTAGACAGTGTTTGCTTTTTCTGTCTGCTGGCTGTTATTGCTTGGAATGCCTTTAGCATTACTCTATGCTAAAGTTTCCCCGGGGATGTCCTTACACAGGTGAACTGTTCCTTGCAGTGGGGACACTCCACCGGTGGGGAAAAAACACAACCAAACCCACTACTCCATTCCTTCATACACCCCAAAGGCCCCTGTGTAGAGAAGAATGAGTCCTACTCTGCTTATTTCCAAGCACACGAGAGTCTGTTCACACTGCTCAACCCTTCAACACCGCCCACCATCCATATAGGAGTACTTGCTGCTCCCCCCAAATCTCCATGGTGTGGGAAAGAGCCATGGGGTGCAGTTAAGGAAAGGGAGACCTCCTAGAGATGGCAAGCAGCTCTCCAGAGGGACAAGTGAAAAATAAGCCTCTGTCAGCCACTTTGTTCATGGTGGTATCTTCCCTCTGGGGTGGAAGTAAAACTGGCCCAGCACCAACCCTGAGAGCTGCCTGCTCGAGGAAAAGGTTGAGGGATCTCTGGCAGAGGGCATCTGTCAAGAGTGCATTTTAACAGTTAACAGGGAATATTAGGGAAGAAACCTTTAAGCCACAAAGACTCCTTGTTTTAAAAAGTCTGCACGTGATGGAGGGCTGTGACAGCCAAGCTCAGGGAAGACCCAGCTGCTTCTGGAGCTATGAAGCAGGACACGCTGTGGTACTGGAGGATGTAGGTGCATGGACAAGTGTGGATAGGTTCCATGTGCATCATGTCTATCTACCATCTCATAAACCCTCTCTGAGTGTGGCTGAGGCCATGTCTCTCCAGTATGACCGTGCTATGGGACCTACTCCTAATCTTAATCTCTTGAACATCCAAACACTTACAGCTGTGGAGTGCTAGAGCTGCAAAATGCAAGTCCACGGGACCACCAGCATGATGCAGAGTCTGACCCTGCTTGAGTCTGAAGAGAGGCCAAACTGAGCGGCTGGACAGCATGCTGTGCTTGTCTGGGTGCTGAGGCAGTCGCACCCACTGTTGCTGGGGAGGTAGGTCTGTGACAGGGATATCATTGCAGGTCTGTAAATTAACATTCAAGTTCATATAGAGCAATTTGCAGCTGCAGAGCATCTGGCATTTAATATAACTTCTGTCTACATTATAAATGTCAGAACGGACTTACACCTGGTTGGTTCCCAACAAAGGCAAAGCTGGATGGGTCTGTCTGCTCTTTTGAACTGCTCCAGTGCTGCTGCCAGTGGAGTGCACCCAACCCAGCTGGTGCTGCCAGCTCCAGCATGGTCCTTTCTGCCCTTGAGTTGGACTTATTTCCAACAGCTGAGATTCAGTGAAGCACACGCTACGAGATGTTGTTGGGTCCCAGTTGACTGCTGGGATTTAAAAAGAAAAGAGGGAATCTTCTGTCACATAATGTACCTAGAGGATGTGATATTCAGCTTTGGAGCTCAGTGGGAATTTTGTCCTCGAGTGTTAGGTGGGCAAACTAATTTGCTTTGGCTAGCTGTACTTTTCTTCCCTGCTGAGGTTAAAATTTGATATTCATCATGTAAACAGAGGTGGATGTTAATGACAGATGCTCTTCTCCTAATACAATTTTCTCAGCTCTCACAAATCAAAGGACCTATATTCTAATTTATACTAAGCAAACATCTTCTACAATCTCTCTCTCATATTGCTGCCAAAAGCATCAGTAACCAAGCACCAGAAACGGACAGAGTCTAGAAGAATACTTACCTTTAGAAAAGACAGTACTCTAGCAACTTCTCATGAACTGATGACACACAAAAAAAGCCTGTGCCATGCTAGTGGCAGAAGTTAGCACACCACATTTCCCAGGTCCTCACATTTTCTGCCAACAACATGCTTCTCCATCACCATAAAGCAATGGATCTACTGACCTCTCTGGCTCATTTCCCTGGCTATTCATTACAGGGATGAGTAGGTCAGACAACTTTCTGGAGGCCAGAGCATTGCACAAGGCAGACCCATTTCCTTATCCAGCTCCTGGAAATTTTGCAACACTGCAGCATCCAGGGCGCTGCGATCCTATCAGAGATGGGACAACAGCACAGCCCAGAAGCAAGCAGGGTTGTATGGATAAATTTGCAGTTATACATAAGATGCACACATCTTCCTCAGTCCCTGCTTTTCTCCAGCAAATCTGGAGCCTCTCACAAATGGTTCTAGGGCCATCCATCCCTACCCACCTCAGGTCCTTGTGCCGCTTTAAAAAGCAGCACTCATGCAGTGAGGTACAGTCATTTCTTCCCAGAAACACCATTTTTTCTGATCACAAGACAGAAATTTAGTCCTCTTACACACACTGTATATGTATCACATTACCTTGAAGTGATAAACCCAGCAACACACACACACACACACACCCCCCAACCAATGTGCAACCAAGTTTATCCTTCCAGATGCAGCTGCCTTAGGCTCGCACCCAGCCCAAAAGAGCAGGCAAACACTGGCACGGCTGTAACAGCAAACAAAGCTTGGCAGGCAGAGTCCCGGCTCCCTCTTCCCCTCCATCAGTTCAGCTCTCTGGCTCAGCAGTTCCGTGGCTCTTGCAGCCTCCCAGTTCTCCGCCACCCCCTGCTCTCATCCCCAGCCCCTCTGCGCTGAGTGTCGGTACCAACCTCGCAGCAAAGCCCGGCTGGATGCAGGGCTCCAGTCCCTCCTGGGGAAAGAGAGTTAGGAAGATGTGAGCTCTGGAAAGCCCTTTGGGTAATGCCACTGGGGTGTGAGCGGGCGGAGGTTGGCTCCTGGCTCCTGCAGGGACAGCAGCCTGGCTGTCACTGTCCCTTGTCCCTGAGATCAGTGCAAAAGGTAAGAGGCAAACAGGAAAACACCCAGACTCAGCAGGCTGGGGGAGGGCAGGAGCCCGTGGCGTGGGTGCCGTCAGCCGGCCTCCCGCTGCAGGTGCCGGCTCCAGCCCTGGGCACAGAGGTGGGAGGTGCTGAGTGGGCATGGGGGCAGCTCCCATGCTGGCACCTCGGGGTGCCACAGGCCCCGGCGGGCAGGGCAGCACAAAGGGAGCGGGAGGAGGATGCCGGGGTGCCCTGATGCCCCCACCCCACGCGAGCTGCCCGTGCACCCTGACGCTCGCCTCGCCGCTGCTCTGCACGCTCACGGGCACAAACACACCCGTGCCCCACGCGTCCTTGGGTCTAGACAGGGGACCAAAGGTGTGCAGGTAGGCACATATTATATTTGTAGAAACAGCGATAGAGTCGGCAAAATCTCCTGGGATTAGGAGCTGTGACAATGTAAGGTGAGGTCTGTCTTCCAGTGACATTACAACCTTTGGGGTGTGAGGACGAAGGGAAGAGCCGTTTCCAGGGCTGCCCCTCGAACCCAACACAAACAATTCACAACATGGGGCCCTGTCTAACTCCTATCCATCACGAAAAGAAAAGAAAAGAAAAGAAAAGAAAAGAAAAGAAAAGAAAAGAAAAGAAAAGAAAAGAAAAGAAAAGAAAAGAAAAGAAAAGAAAAGAAAAGAAAAGAAAAGAAAAGAAAAGAAAAGAAAAGAAAAGAAAAGAAAAGAAAAGAAAAGAAAAGAAAAGAAAAGAAAAGAAAAGAAAGAAAAGAAAAGAAAAGAAAAGAAAAGAAAAGAAAAGAAAAGAAAAGAAAAGAAAAGAAAAGAAAAGAAAAGAAAAGAAAAGAAAAGAAAAGAAAAGAAAAGAAAAGAAAAGAAAAGAAAAGAAAAGAAAAGAAAAGAAAAGAAAAGAAAAGAAAAGAAAAGAAAAGAAAAGAAAAGAAAAGAAAAGAAAAGAAAAGAAAAGAAAAGAAAGACAATAACAAACCCTAAAAATCTATTTTCCATTCAAGAAAGAAGTGTCTGAGAAGTGTCTGTAGTCACCAGTTAGCTAAGGGGAGTGTTCATTAATGTGTACCTGGAACCTATAAAATAAATTTGTTAGCTTTGCAAGGCAGCTGCTTTTAAACTCAGTCAGAGGATGCAGGTGATGTGGGATAACATGCCCTCAGCACCCCTGGGGCTGTGGCAGATCCAGACTGGTGGGTGCATCATGTGGTCCTTGGCAGTTCCCTGCCCTGAGACTCTTAACAGCCCACAGCAAGTGGGGATGGGGACGCCCCCCCCCTTGCCTGATGCTCCTTGGCTTTACCAGGTGCTGTTGCTAGGGCGGCTGCTAGGGAGGAGAATTTAGACAGTGATTGAGGTATTGAAACGAATGGATGACAACAGTATCTTGATATTTTCTTGCACGCCCACTTTCAGGAGCTTTATTCTTTGTTTTCAGTGAGGTGGGGGATGTAGCCCATGTTTTTATTGCCCATGACATTGCTGCATCCAAATGAGGGAGCAGGCTGTTAACAAGAACAGATAATTTCCCAGGCTGACTCTAGGCTGGGAGATACCTACAACAGCAGACTTCACTGGAGGAGAGAGTGGGCAGTGGCAGCAACTGTACTGAGCTGTGTCCCAAGCTCTGGAAAAATCTGGCTTGCTTCTGGTCCAGGTCCTGTGTGCTCAGTTTCTCTCCTCCAGGACAAAAAAATTAAGCTTCAGTTTGCTTCTGGGAAGTCTTGAGCTAGATCTGATACGTCTCACTTTCACACACCCCCTAGCACCCACAGAGCATTCCCCTTTGAGATCTTTTAGTTACATTTTAATACTTGACACAAGGCACAGTATTTGTAGGGCCAAGGAAGATGGAGAAGTTGAAGGGATGGCCCAAATTCAGAGGAGGAGCCGATGGCAGTGGGGGACTGCTCCCACAGGGCAGGAGAGGGTGTTTCCCTTCCCCAGGAGACCAAAGGCACCAGCTGGAGGCCAAGCACAGCCACTAAAACACTAGAATAAAAAGAAACTGTGTTCCTGGGTGTGTGATCTCATCCAAATCACAGAAGGGTATCCTAAGAGTTTAACCGGACACTAGAGCATTACTGGGAATAGATGGTGCTGAAAAGATGGGCTGTGGCTAATTAGGAAAACAACACTACTTGGTAAACAAATTGATTAAATCCTCTGGCAATGAAAAAGGATGAAAAATAGGGTCAAGGCAACAAAGGCTCACTCCACATCAAGTTGGCTTGAGCACACTGAAAGATCCTGCCTCAAACCTAGAGAGGGTCCAAAAGGGGATGAAGGAGAAGGAGGAGAAAGAGGAGGAAGAGGAAGAGCAAGAAGAAGGGAGGAGAGTGTGCATGGTCAGTGACAGCCGAGAGCAAGCAGTCAGGCCCTGCTTCCTCCTTGTAGGTGAAATTTGGGACAAAATTAGATCATATCAATTCCTGGCCCAGCCTTCCTCTTCCCATGGCTGAATACCCAGGAAGGTGCTGGGGAAGAGGAGTATCATTTTGGCATGGACTTGGTGGCCATGCCTTTCCTCTGGGAGAGGGGCAGGCATGGTGAGGGAGCCGCTGGGACATGAGGCAGGCCAGGCACCAGCATCCAAGGAAGGCATTTTGAGTCAAGGCTTAGTGACATTGGCCCCATTTCACATCACCTCCCCCAAGGCAGGGCTCTCCGCTGGCGCAAAGTGATGATGGGCCATGGAGAACACCTGAGCTGTGCTGGAGCACCTAATCCCACACTGAGACAAGCTTTCCCCGGGGGAAGGCAGGAGCACATCACGGGGAGCAGCAGCCAGTGGGTGATGAGCTCCCTGCCACCACCCTGCCAGCCAAAGGGTAGGGTGTCAACCTACCACCCCAAATGCAGCAGGGAGGTTACCAACCTAATAAGGGGTACAATGGGTGCTTGGCAGGGGGTGAACCCCTTCTGCAGGGGCATGAGGGGCAAGTCTCCCTTCAACCCCATAGAAACACCATTGCACCTCTGGGGTTTGTTTTATTCTTGTTATATCACAGAAAGTTGATAGTTGCAGTTATATTCCTAAAATCAGCAAGAGATCTGTGAACAGGATCCCACTGGTTAACATCCTGTGATGGGAAATTAAAATGTGAATACAGTGACTAACCCCTGCTTTCCCTCACCCCACAGCCTCCTCGCACCACTGAGCACTGGGGTAACCTCCAGCAAAACTGCTCCAGTTGATGCACCTCCACAGAGAGCTAAGCTGTGGGGCTGGGCAAACCGAAGCAAGGATTATTTTTAAGAGATCTCAGGATCTGTGTGGGACCTCACTTCTCCCACCATCACACCATCATGTCTCCACGGCAGCTGAGGGGAAGATTATATCTTTTATTATGCAAGAGCAGATTAATTTTTTTTTTTAGAAGTGCCTGTGTAACTTCTATTTGACTTTGGTGGGACCTGAGAGAGCATCTGACAGGGACATTATTGTTTTTATATAGCAATGGCAATATACAAAGGCTAGGTTCAATGCTACAGAATTATTCCAGGCAAGAAGTTTCTTTGCCCTCCTCAATCTGTCAGTAGCCAAAGGTTTCATTTACTTCAGTACAATAACGACATGTAGAGTGATGAGATCCCTCAGAAACCAAATGCAAGTTTTCTCTGGAAGGTGATAAAGGACATTTCACAAGCACAGGATTTTCCAGATCTCTTGAAACCATATGCCTGGTGGAGGTGTGGAGGTCTTTTGTTTTTAAATTGGTTTTACTGTTGTTTTGAGGAAATACTGAAGTAGGTATGAGGAGTAGAGAATATAGTTTACTCTTTCAATGAATCATTGCTCTTTCTTAGAAAGGTTACTGCTGTGGCTCTTGCACATAAATAGATGAAGTCTAACATGTTTCTGTCTGGATTATTATCTTTGGCACTTTGCCACGCATATCATATTAATCCCTCAAAATCCAGGGAAATCACCAGAGAGTTATGCAAACCCTTACTTGCAGAGTTTTGCTGGGCTCCTGAGCAAGAAATGAAAAGGCTGCACAGAACAGCCCAGGTAGAGGGAGAAATAACTCAGAAGGTTCCTTTGGTCTCCTCTGGTCCCGCAGTGACCTAGGCTGAGCTCAGATCATGGCAGGCACTGGGCTGAGCCTGCCCTCTTGCCTCTGCTTCCTTATGGCAGAGTCAAGGGGATGGGAAGACGACTGGGGTTTGGAGCCTTTCTCCAGCTCCGGTCCCCATCCCAAGGATGTCTTCCCACCAAATGCCTCTATTGCTAAAGGTCTCGGCTGGCCCCTTTGGTATGTGACCTTCGCTTCAGTCCAAATACTGTAGAAGTGACTTTGGATTGGGGGTTATACAAGTCATGTTACAAAGGATGGGCTTTCAGAAAAACCACAGCGCTGGCTTTCTGCAGATGGTACTTGAGTCAGTCGAAAATAAAAGTACTCAGAGTTGTGCATAACATTTAGTGAACCTGGCCAAGAGGGTGACACTAATTCACTTGATGATATTCCAGCTCATCCAATTCCTAAAAGGAAGGATGTGGACCACCTGCTCCCCTACATTCGCACAACCTCTGCTATTATGCAACCACGAAATAAAGGTTCACTTGGCTGCAGCAGCAGGAGCGATGCCACAGGTCAGAGATGCAGCTGGCACAAGTCAGCCGAGCTGCAGCAAAGTAAACAGAGCTGCGTAGATTTACACCAGCTGGGGAAACTGGCTTGCAATTTGCAGCCTGCCATTGAAATACAATTTAGACTGAAAAAACCCACAATGTTAAATTACAAATGTGCTGACACCTGCAGCGTTTGGAAGAGACAATATACGGAGATGCTTCCGACCCCCATAACAAAGTTAAATGCAATTCCCTCACTTAAGAGTAATTCATAGATGCCGGCAGAGGCACAAAGGCTGGAGTGTTATATTTTTATGATGATAAATCAGATGAGTCATCCCCAATCAGCAAGCACTCATTGCTTTAATGACCAGACAAGGGAAATTCACTT